CTATAAAATTCAGAGAAAAAAACCTGTAGACAAAATTCATGATATTGGATTAGGGAATGATGTCCTCGTATGACCCCAAAAACACAAGTAACAAATAAAAAAATATACAATTTGGACTTTATCAAGATTAAAAACTTTTGCACAGCAAAAGTCAATAGACGATATCAAAAGTGAAAGGAGAACTTACAGAAGGAGAGAAAGTATTTGCAAAGCCTATGTCTGAGACAGGATTAATAACCAACATATGTAAAGAACTCCTACAACTCAACAACAAAATAACAAACAGCTCAATTAAAAAATGACCCAAGGACTAGAATAGCTATTACTCCAAAGAAGATATTCAAACAGTGAATAAACCCATAAAAAGATGCTCAACATCACTTGTCATTAGAAAAATGAAAATCAAAACCACAATCCCTTTGAATAGCTTTTATCAAAAACAAAACAAAAGAAAGAAACACCAAAATGAATACAAGAAAATTAAACTTCAGAAAATAAAGATTGAGTAAGCTATGGAGAAATTGCAACTCTTGTATGTCATGGGTAGGAATATATAATGGTGTAGCCACTCTGGAAACAGTGTTCGTGTTCATGTAGAATTTACCACAGGATCAACCAATTCCACTCTTAGGTAAATACCCCCGAATTAAAAGTACGTACTGAGATACTTGTACATCCGTGTTTACAGCAGCATGATACATGATAACCGAAAGGTAGCAGAAAGAATTCATATCTATGCATAAATGAATGGATAAACAAAATGTTGATGTAGACACATACAATGGAATGTTATTCAGCCTTATTAAGAATGACCACCTGATATGTTCCCTAATTGAATGAACCTCGAAAATATCATTCTAAGTGAAATATGCCAGAGTTGAGGACAAATACTTGATTCCGCTTACGTGAAGTATCTAGAAGAAACAGCTTCATAGACACAAGGAAGTAAAATAGAAGTTACCGGTGGCTGTGGAGGAAGAAGGTGTAGGGAATTCTTGCTTAATGGGTGCAGAGTATCTGCTTAGGATGTTGAATAAATTCCTGAAAGGTACAATGCTACTGACTTCACAACTATGTGAATACCAATGAATTGTATCCTTAAAAACGGTTGATATGATACAGATTTTATGTTATGTATATTTTAGCACAATAAGAAATACGTACTGAAATAAGGGGATCACCCCATGTAGTGCTTTTGAATTGGACTAAATGACTCAAGGAAAGAGAAAATGTGTTGTTCTAGGGGCTGGTAGATTTGAGAAAATTGCCCTTGAAGGGGGAGATAGAACCACGGGAGTAACTAAAGCAAGGGCAAAAGCAGGCTTCAAACTCATGTTCTGAACAGAGTTGTGGATGGTCGGCTGTGTCTGGACAATGAGTTATGCCTTGAAGGGACACCAGTCACGTTTGGGGCCAACACTGAACTTCAGGGGCCAGATTATGCAGGTGGATTTCACCGCCTCCGTGACAATCCCGTGGCTGGAGACCTAGAGAAATACCAATCGTTCCTTCTTACTTGAGATGTCCTAAAAACTTCAGCAGGATATAAATCAGAGGAGCAGGTTGCTGCGACACCACACTTACATCCTGTGTTCTGTTTATTTCTCAGCTACTCCTCGGGGAGAAAATTTGTGGTTCGTTCTTGCAGCGTGTGAGCTGGTGAAACCCTGGCAGTTAGCGGTATTTGCAACTAAACATGTCTCCTAAGGAGAGACCACGCTATTACTGGCAAGTCTTGCATGTGCCAGGAAGATCGGGTACTTTGGTTTGTGAGTCTGGAGAAGGAGATTGGGGCTATGAAGCTGAACTGCTAAACAAAAATGGGAAGAAGTAGGACTGCATATGGGAGGGAGACATGGAGAAAACAAGGGAGGGCAGAGGTGAGAGGGATCAGAGCGTCAAGAGGAGCCAAGGAAACGTGTCGACTCTGCCATCTGTGTGTTTATAATTCTCATATTTCCATCATGGGGCCAGGCCTTGCTCCTTCTCTCTGGATTTGTACGTCCAACCAGGACTCAACTTCTTTCTTAGATGGAAGCAAACCTCTCACTGTTAACACTGCCCCCAACTGAACTCCTCGGTTTTCCCCCACATCCTTGTACATCTCAGATGAGGCACCTTTATTCTCCGAGATACTCAGGTCCAAGCCCTTGGGAACCAACCTCTCTTTCCACCCCAAATCCTATGCATCAGGAGATCCTGTTGTCTCCCCTTCTGCCTGTACCCACAATCTGACCTCTTTCCCCTTTCTCTCCTGGCTGCTGTCTTGGTGCAAAATGCTTTTCCTTGTTTGCACGAACACGACGAACTCTTGAATGCTCTAGTCGCTTCTGTCTGTGCCCTATGGTGTCTAATCTCAACCAAATGCTAGCATAATTTAAAACTCATGGTGGATCATGTCATTTCTGTCTTCAGAACCTTGCAGAGGCAACCATTTTACTCAGAGTGAAAGCCCAAACCCTTGAACAGAACAGGAGGATTCTACTCTCCTGCTGTTCCCGTGCTGTTCAGGAAGGCTCTTTCCCCAGAAGATCACATGGCTCACACCCTAACTTCTTGTAATCTTTGCTCTAATCTCCCAGTTCAATGAACACCCACCCAGGCTACCTCTTTAAATACATCCCACCCTGAAGAGTCTCTCATTGTCTTCTCCAGCTGTACTGTCATGTTTTTCCTTAACACTCATCACTTTCTAGTATACTATGTGATTTACTTATTTGGTATGTCTGTTGTTTCTTTTCCTTTTCTCCACTACAATACAACTTCCGTGAGGGCCACTGCTTTCCCTCTTTTAATAACCAGTATGCCCTAAGCTCATGTAACAGCTCTGGGCACCTAGGAATTATCCAGTAAATATTTTGGTCATATGTGAATTGCCCAGTGTAACCCCTTTCTGAGACCCTGCCATCTGTTTTCAGTGGAGAATTTCTCGGAAAAATATATCAGAATCTGGGTTTCCCATGAAGAAGACTTGGGGGAAAGTGCCGGAGAGAAGCAAACCACAAATGCTCTGTCTTCCCCACATCCCACCCTTCCCTCCCCCCATTGGCAGATCTGCAGAAACCTCATGGGGATGGAAGTGGGGCCATAGGGTTTGAGAAGAGCCATGGTTAAGCCTGTGAGATCTAGAATCAGACTGCTTGAGTGCAAATCATCACCCTGCCATTCACCACCGAGTGACCTTGGACTTTTCTGTGCCTCCTTTTTTGTCTGCGAGCTAGGGGGGACATAGTGTCTACCTTGGATACAAAGATCACAGGACATAACAGACGCGTGCATTTCCAAGTGGGTGTTGCACATGGTGAGTGCTCAGGAAATTGGAAAGCTATTACACATGAGATTTCTTGAGGCATGTAGGCGTCAGCTGACACTAGATGATTGGGATCAGGATGTGAATATGAATAGAATTGCAGGTGCAGATCATACAGGCAGGAGTCCCCACATACTCTATCCCCTTTTTTTCCTCCCCACCCAGTCCAGCATGGAGGAGGACCTTCAAGGTAGTAATGCACAAATTTTTCATTTTACCTAGAGGGAAGTTTGCTTGTCCCAATACCTGGTGGTGAGTGAGCAGTTAGTTTAGAGAAGTAGAAAAAGGGGGTGAGTAGCTGAGAGACAGGGAACCAAACACCTGTTCAGTGTGCATTTCTTTTTTTTTTAATTTTTTTTTTACGTTTATTTATTTTTGAGACAGAGAGACAGAGCATGAATGGGGGAGGGACAGAGAGAGAGGGAGACACAGAATCGGAAGCACGCTCCAGGCTCTGAGATGTCAGCCCAGAGCCTGATGCGGGGCTCGAACTCACGGACCGCGAGATCGTGACCTGAACCGAAGTCGGACGCTTAACCGACTGAGCCACCCAGGCGCCCCTCAGTGTGCATTTCACATAGAGTGGATGCGATGTGAAGAGAACAAGAAGGAGAGTGTTGTCAAATTTCCCATATGTATGCATATTCACTTGTGTGTACACTTTCTCAGGTACTCCTATGTGTACACACAGACACACACACACAGACACACACGCACACACACAAGTGCATTCCCAGGTATGTATTAAGTGTAGCCTAGCAGCTAGTATATAGATCATTTTGAGGATCAAATGAAATTGTAATACAGGTTAAAAACTCAGCAAAATAGGATGAGCACTGGGTGTTGTATGGAAACCAATTTGACAATAAATTTCATATATAAATAAAAAAAAAA